GTTTAAATATTATTTCCTATATATCAAATCATTTTTATAAATCAATATTTTATAATAAATCACTTTTAAAAGTGTATAAAATATTAATTTGAAAGTAAAATACTACTTTGTATATTTTTTTTAAATAACCTTGAATCATACAAAGAGTGTTTTGTTTTAAAAGATTTTTACAAGTATAATAGTTGAACGGGAAGTCCGTGCAATACGATTTTGTACATACCTCGAGTTCGAGAGAGAAAGTGAAACGGACTTGTTGAAGACTAGTAAGGAACCGAGACTTTAGAGGTGTTATGGAGCTTTACCGAAGAACAAAAAAATAGTAAAAAGTGTCTTAATAACTTGAAGAACACAAAAAAAAATGCAGGATTTTTGGGAGAGTTGTCTTACCTTAAACGGGCTCTAAACGAACTCTAGTTGGCTCTAACTTCTTCTAGTCTTTTGGGAAAGGTTTGGTAGTGTATTGGGAGTAAAATAACTTAATATTTTTATTATAAAGAAGAGAAAAGTTGCTGCAATTTTAAGGAGAGAGAATGGAGAAAAATGAATGAGTTTGGGTGGTATTTATAGGTAAAAATTTGTAGAAACAACCAATAAAGATTACCTCAACTTGATCATGATAATTTTAGATTATTTTTGGAGGATTCTAACATCATAAAATCAGGATCATATCAAAAAAAAAATCAAGAGAAGTGTAAAACTCTTCAAATATGTCATCAATATCCATTAAAAATATTTTAGAATATTTGATGATGTTTGGGTTGATATGGAGTAATTTAATGTGTTTAAGTAACTAAAAAGACTCCAAAATACCTTAGAAATTGATTCTCAAAAAGTCCCAAAAAAAAAATATTGATTAGGATGTTTGGAAATAAATCTGCAATTTTTTTACGCATGGTTGCTGACTTGCTGTTTTTTTTTTAAACTGTGTTTGTTGTCTAAGGAGAAAAGAAAATATTCCATACTTGGCCTGAGGTGAGAATCGAACACGGGTGAAGTATTAAAAAGCCTCCTCCCGTTTCCGCTTCTACCACTTGAATTCTATTAACATATATGGGTTTTTGTTTTACCAATATCATAAATACGGGGTTGTCCAAATAACCACTTTACCTAAATTTTAATCAAATTGGATTCTACATCAATTAGTACTTCTAAAAAATTTGTTCTAACAATATAATTTCTTCTAATAATTTTAAACTAATGGTTTAAAAAAAAAAATATTTCTAAATTATAAAATTGATTCATTAAAGTTTACTAATCATATAATGAATTTTTTTAGGCCCTATTTTGGGATGTTACAGAGAACTTCTCCATGAAAGACTTAGGGGATGCTAGTTATGTCCTTGGCATAAGAATCTACCGAGATAGATCAAGAAAGTTAATAGGTCTAAATCAAAGTACATATATAGATAAAATCCTTGTTCGATTTAGCATGTCTAACTCATAGAAAGGATCTTTACCTATGACACCTGGCACGGTTCTTTCCAAGAGCCAGAGTCCTTATACTCCCGAGCAGAAGGAACTCATGATGAAGGTTCCATACGCCTCTGCGATTGGATCCATCATGTATGCCATGATATGTACAAGACCTGATGTCTCATTCGCTTTAAGCGTGACCAGCAGATACCAGGGAAGTCCAGGAGAAGCACACTGGACAGTGGTCAAGAACATCCTCAAGTATCTTCGCAATACTAAGGATGCATTCCTGGTATACGGTGGTGAGGAAGAGCTAAAGGTGGTCGGTTACACTGATGCTAGCTTCCAAACCGACAGAGATGATTCAAAATCACAAACAGGATATTTGTTTTGCCTGAATGGCGGAGCTTTTAGCTGGAAGAGCTTCAAGGAGGAAACAACCGCCGATTCGACTACAGAGACTGAGTACATAGCTGCCGCCGAGGCAGCTAAAGAAGCTGTTTGGCTCAAGAAGTTCATTACTGAACTTGGAGTGGTTCCTAGTATTAATGACCCTATCTCGTTGTTTTGCGACAACACTGGGGCCATTGCACAGGCAAAGGAACCGCAATCTCACCAGAAAACCAAACACATTGTACGATGCTATCACATCATACGAGAAATCGTAGATAGAGGAGATGTGATAATTTGCAAAGTAGATATTGACGACAACATAGCCGATCCCTTGACCAAGCCTTTAGGAAAGCTAAAGCATGAGGGTCACACTAGGTCCATGGGCATTTGACCGATGCCAGATTGGCCATAGTGCAAGTGGGAGATTGTTGGGGTTGTGCCCTGATGGACAACTGTTCATCGTTATTCTATCATGTATAGGCAGATATAATATGTTTACACATCTCATGCTAATGTAAACAAATATTATATTCCTAGATTTATATTTAAAGATGTTTATCAGATAGTGTTTCTCTGCTGATGAGACTAACATCTTGAAATAAATATTTATCTAAATGTCCATAGTCGAGTATTAACGAGAGTAGGATATCGTTAATGCATGTGAGA